ATAGAGCCTAATTACATCAAAATCGGAGGTGATGTAGCTATTCTGGATAATTACCGTGTCTGATTATCATGTGTCCAATTGCAACCATCTTGTGTCCGATTGACACTGTGTCCGATTCATTTAACTTGCTGTGTCCGATTTATTCTGTGCGCAACTGGGACTTTCCCAGGCGGAGGGAGGGGCTCTGCCTCTCCCCCCTGCACCCCCCTCCCCTGCGCCTAGTTTCTATCTACTCGGAAGGGCGGAGCCTTCCCAAACCCCCCCGTTAATTAGGAGAAATTATATTATATTAAGAATATTAAATACAAAAGAGATTAGCAAAAAGAAAGCAAAGTTTTTTGTCCCCAAATTGTTTCATCCCCAGAGTTTTCAAAATGCATGTTTTTCGCAGCGGTTAACTTTACGTTATTGTTACGCGTAAAGTATTGCAATTACAACAATAATGTGTATAACCTTTTTTGTAGTAAATCTCATTTTCTACATTTTTTGTTTGAAAAATTTTTTGATACCGGAAATAGTTGCGGAGATAATCGTAATAAAACGTTTTTTTTTGTATGTTTTTTCAAGATGGCGGCCAAAATATGGCCGACCGCCAAATATTATTATTATATTCGTGTTCAGAAGGCAAAAATACATGGGAATTGAGCATTTTTGTCCATTACTTTTTTGAGGACCATATTCCCAAGGTTTACCAAAATGAGGAACAGACAGTACTGATTGCATAAAATGCAGGATAAACTATCGAAATCTGTTAGTGTTTCGCCTAACCCAGCACGATTGGCTGCTTTACTTATATACATACACACATACACATATACAGGGTGAGGCATCTAAAACAGATCAACTGAATAACTCGCCTACTTTTGACGATAGAAAAAAATGCATCAGACCAATCTTGCTTAGTTTCAAGGAGGATATAATCTGATGTCAATAGTTTTTTTGTAGGTGGAAGTGTAGAGGAGATGGGAAGGTCAACTTCGTTTTCTTAAATGGAATAGTATGTTTTTTACTTATCTTCTAATAGAGCATTTTAAGACGCATACAATGACCTGTGGTTAAAGGTCATTTAAGATCATTTAAGGTCATTAAAGGTCAATTGTGAAAATAATTTACTTCAAGGAACCAATCGAACACTTTTGTTTCTTCTCTGGTTAT